ACTTCCTATGAAGTTGCCTGGACAATTTTAATTCCTGATGTCTTTTTTTCTTTTTTTTTTTTCTTTTCTTTTGGTCTTTCTGAAACAGGGTCTCCCTGGCCTGGAACTCACTATGTAGACCAGGCTGGCCTTGAACTCACAGAGATCCACCTGCCCCTGCCTCCCAAGTGCTGGGACTACAGGTATGCACCACCACACCCAGCCTTAGTTCTTGATTTCTGAAGACTGAAAACCAGTTTGTGATCTGCAGTTTAATCAGTTCCTAATTCTATATAATCAAACCACTTTTTCAAGATAAGAAAAATAGCAAACCAAGACTTTTTGTAATCAACAGAATGTCAAAGACATGATTAAAGAGAGCTTTACCAACCACTGGAGAGAGACTCTAGATCACCTTACAAGACAAAGACTTCTTTTGGTTTCATGCCCCATTCATAAAAAGTTACGAACATTCACGTGGGCATGATAGTGCATGTCTTTAATCCCAGCACCTGGGAGGTAGAGGCAGGTGGATCTGTGTGAGCTCCAGGCCAGCCTGGTCTACAGAATGAGTTCCAGGCAAGCCAGGGCTACATAGTGAGATCCTGTCTCAACCAAATAAATGGCTGGGTGTGGTGGCACACACCTTTGATCCCAGCACCTGGGAGGCAGAAGCAGGTGGATCTCTGTGAGTTGAGGCCAGCCTGGTCTACCTAGCAAGTTCCAGGCTAGCTGGGGCTTCAGGGAGACTGTCTCAAAAAACAAACAAAACAAAACAAAACAAAACACCCCCAAATAAACAAAAAAAGTTATGAACATCCTCCGAATATGTCAATATTTATATATTATATACATTACTATTGAACTATATTAATAAGTTATGAATTTCAGAAAACCTACATAAAAATAAAATGTTAACAGAAAGAGATTTGGGTAATGAGATGGTTCAGTAGGTAAAGGCACTTGCTGCCAAGCTTGATGACCTGAGTTTGATATCCAGGACCCACATGGTAGAAGGAGAAAACCTACTCCTGAAAGTTGTCCTCTGACCTCCATACATACTCCAGAGCACACACATGCCCACATGTTTGCACACGCACACGCACACTAAATTAATAAGAAATAAAATGTAGTGAAAGAACTTAACGGACGAGATTTAAAACAAAGTACAAAGCAACTTTGATGGGTTTTTTTTCTGGCATCTCAGAAGACACTTTTCCCACGCCTGGGGCTTACTGCCCCCCTTTTGAGACCGTGTTCTTTTGTACTGCACCTGTCCTTTTTATCCTCATCACTTGCTTATCTCAGATATTCCCATTTCCTTCAAAATATTCTTGCAGTTTCCTGAGGATTGTGCAACCAAAGTAACAGCACAGTGGAACAATGGCAAAGGAGGTGACTCGCGTGCTGGCACATCCCACCTGAAGTACTGCATTGTTCCCTGGAGTTACTGTGAATGTACAATCTGTTACTCAGCTTTGAATGAGTCAGGTTTCTCCGTAAAAAAGAAAAAGTCCTCCATTAAAAATGCATTTTCCACTGGGGGTAGTGGCACACAGCTTTAATCCCAGCACATAAGAGGTAGAGGCAGGGAGATTTCTGTGAGGTGGTAGCCAGCCTGGTCTACATAGCAAGTTCCAGGCAAGTGGGGACTACAGGGAGACTCTGTTTATTAGGACAAACAGGCTGGAGAGATGGCTCAGCGGTCAAGAGCACTGTCTGCTTTTGCATAAGACGTGGGTTTCCAGCACCCACGTGGTGGCTAAAAACTGTCCATAACTCCAGTTCCAGGGGTTTGACACAACTTTCTGACCTCTGTGGGCATTGCATGACACAAATGCACTTACATACATGCAGGTAATATATTCAGACACATAAAATAAAAATAATAAAATAAAACAAACAAAATAAAGTGTCTTTTCCATAGGTAGGGATAGCTTAGTGGTAAAGTCCTTGCCTAGCATACATAAGATATGGGGATTGATTCCCGAAAACTGAAGAAAAACAAATCTGAGCTGGGTGGAAGGCGACTGGGGAGACGGCTGGGCAGGTAAAGCACTGGCTATGCAAGCCTGAGAGTCAGAATTCAGATTACCGTATTTAAAGCCTCTGTTCAGTACTATACCCACAAAAAGCTTCATTAAAACTGCTTGAAATGAAATACTTACGTGCCCCAGTGGACTTTAATGGAACAAGTCTTCTGCATCATACCAAAGCCTTGCATTTCTTCAGTGTCATCAAAGTAGGAATTCAGGAGTCCTAACCCTTCCGGTTCAGTAAACAAGTCAATCTGACTAATTCTGTAATCCTAAAAAAATACATATACAGTAAGTACAGACATCAACAGTTTCAGTTTTATAAATTCTATGAGCCACAAAGATGTTAACACCCTCCTCTTCAACAACTAAGCAAAGAAATTTATCCAATCTATAAATTGTCCTCAAATATTTCAAATAATTTTTAAAGAAGGATCTGTTTTGACTCATGGGTTCAAGGTGTCATTGCTTTCTACTTAAGATGAGGCTGGGTATCATGACAGCACATGTGAGCGGCGCCAGTTCACTGAATGGCAGCCAGGAAGCAGATACAGAGAGAGAGAGAGATTCAAATAATATTTTAATCCCCCAAAAGACATGAGTTGAGCTACCAATTAAATTACTTCTAGATTAGCTTTTGAAAGTAAAATTGTCTGTAAACTCCTCAAGGTAATCAAATATCATACAGAAATCAAAAAACTAAGCAAGGGGTTGGAGCACTCAGTGGCTAGGAGCACTGGCTGCTCTCCCAGACTAGAGTTTGGTTCCCAGCTCCAGCATCAGGCTGCTCTCAATCACCTGTAACTCCAGCTCTGGGGGATCCACACTCTCTTCTGACTTCCAGAGACACCCACACATACATGTGCACATACACACATAGATACACACACATACACATGAATAAAAAATAAATCATCTTTAAAAATCAATTAAAAACTAAGGAGAAATCTGTTTATAGAGAATTCATCTCAACTAGGTTATTTAGTAAAGACCTCCTGGGAGGAATGAATGGAGGCAAGGACAAAAAGCTTAAAGACCTATGATGAAAAATATTTAATAATTAGCATGTTTCTTTTCTAATTGCTTTGTGAGATATATATATATATACACACACATATATATTATAGAACACATATGCAGAGAATATCAAATGTTTTCCTAATCATTTATTTCGCAAAATGAACATTTCCTTAAAGTAAACATCATCTCTAACTCAATAGGAAAAAAAAAATCTAACAAGTAAAAATTTTTAAAATTGATTTAGGGTATAAAATGTTTATATTGCTGGGCTGGAGAGATGGCTCAGTGGTTAAGAGCACTGGCTGCTTTTTCAGAGAACCCAGGTCCAGTTCCCAGCATCCACATGGTAGCTAATGACTGTCCATAACTCCAGTTCCAGGGGACTCCAACGCCCTCTTCTGATCTCCTTAGGCATTGTACAACACGGGTGCTCTTATGCACATGCAGGCAATGCATTCGTGCACACAAAATAAAAATAATAGGCCTGGAGAGGTGGCTCAGCAGTTAAGAGCACTGACCACTCATGCAGAGGACCCAGATTTGATTCCTAGCACCCACGTGGCAGCTAATAACTGTCCTTAACTCAAGTTCCAGGGGAGCTGATGCCCTCTTCTGACTTCTGTGGGCACTGTATGACACAGGTGCACTTACACACATGTAGACAATACACTCACTCACATAAAATAAAAATAATAAATAAAATACTAAAAAATCAATAATAAGATTTTAAAAATATTTATATTGCCAGGCATGGTGGAGCACACCTTTAATCCCAGCACGTGGGAGGCAGAGGCAGGCAGATCTCTGTGAGATCCAGGCCAGCCTGGTCTACATAGTGAGTTTGGGGCTACAGGAAGACCCTGTTTCAAAAAGACCCCAAAAATTATATTTGTGTTATAGATGGCATATCCACAGAGTACCAATCAAATATTTTCCCAATCATATATTTCATAAAAATCAACATTTCCTTAAAGTAAAAAAATTGCTGACATTCCTCATGTATTTGCTAGATGAATGAAACCCATTCTTCCCATAACCTACCTGGACCACATGTCTGATTGAACCAATTACTACAGGCTTATCAGATGCTGCTTCTTCATTTGTTTCCAAAACATCCTCCATACCCCAGAGACCAGACAGTTCCAGGTCACCTTCTTCTAGGGCAATGGAGTGCCCCTCAAAATTTGCTTTCTCATACAAAATCCAACTGAGAATAAATACATAAAAACCATTACCTACCTTGGTGAGGCAGGTGTGTTACTTAACACATATTTTACATCAGTTACCAATTCTCTAGCAAATAAAATAGTAAAACTCTCCCTAAAACACTTTACTGGCTGATAATTAAAAAGCTACCCAGAGGTCTTGGAAAATGTTTGGGTTACCGCTGTGACAGAGCTACCCACGCCCTATGGATCCACTAGTTAGTGGAGAACTATAAGTGATCATGCCAGATGAATGGGTGTTAACAGAAACCATTTTTTCCCTTACATGTGTATAAAACATTTTTCCTAGAGGGATTTTAATGTACATATGAAAGGAAAATCAATGGATATGTTGATACTAAGAACTATATGCATGTTAATGGAAAGTATCTGGCTGATGAGATGGTATAGCAGGAAAAGCGCTCTGTACAAGTCTGGTAACCTGAATTCGATCCCCAGAACCTACAAAAGGTGGAAGGGGAGAACCGACTCTACAAAGCTGTCTTCTGACTTTCATACCCATGCCATGGCATGTGAGCCACATACACATATCTAGCATGCATGCACAATAATAGATACAATGTTTTTAAAAAGGAAAGAAAGAATATCAAATGGATAGTGTTATACTTTAAGAAAGCCTTCAAGAGGGCCAGAGATATGGCTCAGTGGTTAAGACTACTGACTACTCTTTCAGAGGACCCAGGTTGGTTTCCCAGCGCCCACAATGGGTGGCTCACAACTGCCTATAACTTCAACTTTAAGGAATCTGATGCCATCTTCTAGCCTCTGTGAGCAGTACATGACACAAATGCATTTACATACATGTAGGCAAAACACTCATACACATAAACTAAAAATAAATAAATCAAAAAAGATTTTTAAAAAGAAAGCCTTTAAGAAGCCAACAAGAGTGTAAAAGAAAATGTAATTATCCTGTTGAAAACAAAATTGTTTTGCAAAATTTTCAGCATAATTTGAGTAAAAAATATTTTTTGATATATTTATTTTTTGAATTATTATTTATTTATTTTTCTAATGAATTTGTTGAATACACAGCAAACTATGTTAAAATATTAAAGGCCCTATTAGAAAAGATGTTGTATAATTAATCAAATGGAGACTAAAGGTAAAGCTGACTAGCTTCTAAAATCTACTGGACCTGGTAGAACATGTCTTTAATTCCAACTACTTCAGAGGCTGAGGCAGAAGGATCACAAGTTCAAGGACTATACAGCGAGTTTAAAGTCAATTTGGCAACTTAGTGAGATCATGTTTCAAAAAGTAAAAAGAGGGGCTGGAGAGATGGCTTAGCAGTTAAGAGCACTGACTATTCTAACAGAGGATCGGGGTTTGATTCCCAACACCCACAAGGCAGCTAACAACTGTCTATAACTCCAGTTCCAAGGGATCTGCCACCCTCTTCTGTTCTCCAAGGGCACTGCACTACACAGGTGCACTTACATGCACGCAGGCAATACACTCATACACATAAAAATAAAAATAAATAATAATTTTTTAAAAGTAAAAAGAGGTCTGGGCATATAGCTCAGTTATAGAGTGCTTGCTTTACTTGGCTTGTGTGAGATCAACCCCCAATACAGAAAAAACAAAAACATGAATCTCTAGAGCCCTTCAAGCACATATGTAAAAGTGAAAAATATGACAGATCAGTGGTTTTGTTTTCAGTTGTTCTTCTTTACCCGATTTCCTATGCATTTCCAGGAAACAGTCAAACTGGTAAAACAACTGTCAAAGTATTTACATTTTCATTAGTTTTTTCATTTAATTAAAACTATCGGGGGCTGGAGAGATGGCTTAGCAGTTATGAACACTGGTTGTTCTTGCAGAAGACCCGGGTTTGAATCCCAGCACCCACATGGCAGCTAACAACTGTCCGTAACTCCAAGTCCAGGGGATCTGACAGCCTCTTCTGACCTCTGCTGGCATTGCACGACACAGGTGCACTTACCTACATGCAGGCAATACACACATACACATAAAAGTAATAAATTAAAAAAATATTTTAAAAAACTATCATTTGTCAAAAACTTGGAAATTAAATTTTAGGTTAGTTTGTCACTGAACTGTCATATGTTGTCAAAAATAGCTTTCCTTATAAATTTTTTTGGTTTTTTTTTAAAGAAAATGTATTACATTTATTTATCTGTTGTGTGTACGTGTATATACACATGCACGTGGGTACCATGACGTTCATATGGCGGTCAGAGGACAACTTGAAGGAGCTGATTCTCTCCTTCTACTGTGTGGGTCCCAGGGATCAAATTCAGGTCACCAGGCCTGGTGACAAGTACCTTTACCCACTGAACTATGCTGCTGGCCCTGGTTTCTGTTGTTTTGTTTTTGGTTCTTTTTGAGACCAAGTCTTGCTATGTAGGCCTGCAACTCTCCTGCTTTAGCCTCCTGAGTACTGAGATTTTAGACATGAGCCATGACACCTGGCTTTTCTTATATATTTTTAAAATTGTTTTGTATTTTTGAGACAAGGTCTCCCTGCAGCTCCACCTGGACTAGAACTCACTATGTAGACCAGGTTGGCCTAGAACTCACAGAGATTCACCTGCCTCTGCCCCCCAAGTCCTAGGACTAAAGGTGTGCGCCACCACGCCTGGCTCTTATATATTTTATTTAAAAGTCACACCTGGCCTATAAACATGACAAGTGCAATTCTTATCAACATCACTTGAAACTCATGAGTCAAAAGCATATTACCGGCGCAGAAGAGTGATTAATCTAAAGCAAAAGCAATATTATGTGGAGATATAGAGGAAAAACAAATTTGCTTTACTGTATTTTTCTGATTTGCCTATCATAAATACGTATCATTCCTATAATCAAAACATGATGTGTCTTAGACATGTGTTTCTTATCTTAGAACCAACAGTATTTTTTACAGTTTACACTGATAAAGGCACACTCATAAATAAGCAATGAGGACCGAAAAGGTAATTAAGAAGGTCAAGCACACACTGTAAGTCAGGAGCCTCTGGTGCCACTCTTACCATCCTCTAACAACTTTTACAAGTATCACTGGGGAAAGGTGCCAAGAAGTGCAGTCCTGAACATCACCGAACACCTCAATGCACTCCTCAGAGACGTCGGGCTCACCGAATATCACCACCTACAAGTAAAGGAGTCACAGTGTCCTTGAACTTCATCAGACCAAGATAAAATCAAAACTAGAAATTTTAAAAAAACTCTTACTTTTCCAGGCCGGGGATTGAGTTTATTTTGCACACTTCCTCTAAGAGTCTGGAATCAGATGAATAAAAACATGGTAAATAATTACAACTTAATAGAACAGTCTTCTTTTCTCTACCTATGATCCTTCAGGTCAGATCACATTTACTTCACCATTTATCAGTATCAAAACATGTCTAGCCTGCTGCTCCAACTACCTTGAAGTTATAGTAAAACTCTCCTTGAACATACATGATCAAATTACAAGTTTTCCCCCTCTCTAACTGAATTTGGCATTTCAAGTTCTCCTCATTTAAACATTTAGGATGTTCCCACCAATGCTAGAAAATTCAGGCCCAAAGGGCAGACCTATGATCTATGTCAGTTTACCAAGTAAGAAGCAACCAGGAGATTGCAATTCAAATAATCTCAGGGTGATATCAAATACAAAAAGAAACTACAATGCATTAATCACTTATCTCGAAAGAGTCGGTTTCGTGTGCTCATACGCATACCCTTTCTGAATCTGTAAATATTGTGTTGTCACAGTAACATTTACCATCATGTATTAACAAGTCTAAATAAAAGCATGGCCAGGCACAGTGGCACTTTTCTATAATCCCAGCTACAAGGGAGGCTGAGGCAGGAGAATGACAAATTCAAGGACTGCCTAGGCTACAAAGTGGGTTCAAGGCCAGATTAGGCAATTTAGCAAAGCTTTGGTTCAAATTTTGAATAATCTATAATGACTACATAATTTTTCATTGTTTGGAAATAATATAATGTATTAACCTCTTTAAAAAAAAGTGCTGAGAATGCAGCAGCCGCAGAGCACTTGCCTACCATGGGCAAGGCTGGGTTCAGTCCCTAGCGCAGCCAAAAAAAAGGAGGGGGGGAATGTAGGTATAGTGTATTTTATAATATACATTGCACATGGCATTTTTAATCTCTACTTTTTTGATGGACAAAATACATTTTTATATGGCTACAGAACTAATCATTTTCAAAATCATCTGACAAGACCAGTAAAACCTGCAATGTGTAAGATAATAAAAATAATAATTATACATGTAAAAATATTACAAAACACAGACTGGTTGCAGTGCTGACCAGGACTCCACTCCTCAGGCCTGCCTTTGATCTCTCTGCTCTTGCATCATACCTGTGGAATATGACCACACAACCAGAGCAAGGCCACAGTGCAGATCATTAGAATCCAAAATAGCATGTACTGATTTATCTATATGTATGTGTGAGAAATAGACAGGGGGAGGAAAAGCCTAAAATTTGAAACAAAATTCAAGAAAAACAAAGATAAAGTAGAATCAGCAAAGGCTAGTACTCAAAGAAAGACAATTCACTTATTAATTTAAAGATTTGTTTATTTATCTGCATGCATATGTGCCTGATTGTATGTATGTACACCTTGTGCATGCAGGAGCCCATGGAGGTCAGTCGGAAGAGCGCACTGATTCCTTGAAATTGGAGTTACAGGTAGTTGTAAGCCACCTTGTGGTCCTCAGCAAGAGCAGTGAGTGCTTTTAATGGCTAATCATCTCTCCAGCCTAAGACAATTTATTTTTAAAAAAATAATTTTTAAAAAAGTCACACCAGGGGCTGGAGAGATGGCTCAGTGGTTAAGAACACTGACAGTTCTTGTAGAAGACCTGGGTTCGAATCCCAGCACCCACATGGCAGCTAACAACTGTCCGTAACTCCAGTTCCAGGGGATCCAACATCCTCTTCTATCCTCCGCAGGCATTGCACGACGCAGGTACACTTACCTACATGCAGACAATACACATATATACATAAAATAAAAATAATAAATAAAATATTTTTTAAAAAGTCATACCAGGTATGGTGGCATGGGCCTTTAATCCCAGGCCTTGGGAGGCAGAGGCAGGTGGATCTCTGTGAGATCGAGGCCACCCTGATTCATATTGTGATTTCTAGGCAGACTGAGACTAAGGAGACCCTGTCAAAAAACAAACAACCCCCCACAAAAAAGTCATAAAACGCCTAGAAATACATAAAGCACTTTATTTCCTTTACTATATCTGATTTGGCTTTCAACAAAAAACTAATTTTTCCTTTTTCATGTGTATGTGGTATAGATACATATTTTTATGTTTGTGCTGGTACATGTGTGTACATTAGTGTGTAGAGTCCCAAGGCTGACATCAAGAGTCTTCCTCAATCACTCTCCACCTTATATATTGAGGAAAGGTCTCTCAAATGAACCTGGAGTTCACCAATATGTCTGGTCTAGGTGACCAGTTTGATCTGGGGCCTTGTCTCTGCCTTCCCAGCACTGGAATCACAGGTGGCCACCACACCTCCCACGCATTTACAAAGTTTCTAGGGATCTAGAACTCTGTTCTAAACTCTGTCATTCCTGCTGCTTGCAAGGCCAAGTGCTTTAACCACTGAGAAAACACCCCAGGCTGAGAAACTATGGGTTTTTTTTATTGTTGTTTTTACCAGACTTGTCAGGTTATAGTCAGATAACAAGTGATCTGGGAATAATTTAAAAAAAAAACAAAGCTATAATCAATGAGAAACAAATCAATGGAAATTTTGTTCTTGAGAGCAACAGGATTTCTTGAGGAATTTTTGAGAAAAGCTTAGACTTTCTACATTATACAGGCAGATTCTCAAATGGTGATGAAGATGTCCCTGGAGACTAGGCTTAGAGGCATAGGCCTATATCCCAGCCCATACAAACAAAAGCTCTTTAGGATCTCAGTCCTTAAATGTGAGTCCTAAGATCAAATTTGAAACCCACTAGTTTACAAAATCCCATGAAACAGGATCTGTATGGGCTGGAGAGATGGCTCAGGGGTTAAGAACACTGATTGTTCTTGCAGAAGACCCGGGTTCAAATCCTATCACCCACATGGCAGCTAACAACTGTCCATAATTCCAATTCCAGGGGATCTGACAGCCTCTTCAGTCCTCCGTGGGCATTGTACAACACTGGTGCACTTACCTACATGCAGGCAATACACACATACACATAAAATAAAATATTTAAAAATTTAAAAAAAAGAAAGAAAAAGCATCTGTGTATAGTACTGCTGAAAACTTCTGTGTGTCTGTCTGTCTGTGTGTCTCTGTATGTGCTTTAGACAGTATGGCTATATAGTGCAAGCTGTTCTCAAACTCGTAAGCTACCTGCCTCTGCTTTCTGAGTGCTGAGATTACAGGCAAGCTTTACCATGACTAATCAACGATCAAGATTCAAGATTCTAAAATTATCGTCTGTAAACTGGGCGTGGTGGCACACACCTTTAATCCCAGCACTTGGGAGGCAGAAGCAGGTGAATCTCTGTGAATTCCAGGCCAGCCTGCTCTACATAGTGAGTTCTAGGCCAGCTGGGGATACAGAGAGATCCTGTCTCAAAAAGACCAAAAAAAAAGAAAGAAAATCATAGGCTGTGATAGGATTGTAGCAAAAGCCAATACAACATACTAAAACTTGCTACAGTGGCTTGCCCAGGTGAGGGAAGGCACAAGGGATCTTCTGCCTAGGTGGCAGACCTTGGTCTATGGTTGCCTGACAGCTGGTTCACAAGATGAGCCACCATAAAATAAGCTCCATTTATTGTCCTCCTTCAACTTAAGACAAAAAAGGCACAAATTCACATGAAAACCTGAGTAAACAATTCCTGGACTGGCAAGTAGCTGAGTGGCAAAGCATGTATTTAGTATGTGCAAGACCCTGGGAAAAACCTCCAGCACCAACAAACAAAGAAAAAAACTATGACAGGTAAAAGATAAAACCATAACTAGACTGCAAAGCCGTATTTTGTTCCCTCTACAATACTAAAGGAAAGAACCCATGCAAACCAAGCATTTTTATGCTCCAAACTACAGGGGAAAAAAGAAAACATTTTTCTGATGAAAACGTATTTCAAGTAAGCAGACAATAGTTTCCCAGTTGCACGGAATAAATGCTGCTGCTATGGAAGAATGGATTAAATCTCACAGCATGAGAGAAAGAAGGAAGAGGTTCCTTTAGCTGGGTGGGGCCTCTGCAAATAGAGGAAGTGGTTCGTATGTCTTCAGACTTCTAAGTACAAGACAGAGTAAGACACAGAATAAGAAAACAGGCAGCACTGGCCTCTGAACTCTCCAAAGATCTTTTCTATATTTTCATAGTACAACATATAAATTCACAAATGCCTTCAAATATGTAGTTTATTCTCCCCAATAGACCGCAAACGTCTTGAAGGAATTTTTCTTTTTGGTCTTTGAGATAGGGTCTCTGTAGTCCCAGCCGGTCTGGCACTTGCTATGTGACCAGGCTTGCCTTCAATCTCACAGAGATCCGCCTGCCTCCGCCTCCTGAGGGGATCCCACACCTGGCCTTGAGGGAATTTTTTTATCTTGGGTCCTTGTACACAGATTAAAAACTATAGGTGAACAGATAGGAAACTCAGGACAACCATTTGTAAGGAGCAGCACGGCAGGAGTTGCTTACCGGTTCTCCTAGGTTTATAAACATCCTCAAATAAACAGTAAGTTGGTACTTACTGTAGAGTCTGACAACGACAATCCAGAAAGTGAAAGTCCTGGGTCAAACCGGCTTGATTTGAGGAGACTCATGAAGTCAGGGTCCATGCTTCCATGGCTTGGCAGGCTTGATTTCAGAGCACTTTCCATGTGGTTAGCTTTTTCTGTGCCATCACTGTCCTTCGGCTTGGAAAATTCAGAAAATTTAATTTCTGGCACGTGCACCCCGTTGCTCTGTGAATTCAGATCTTCCTTAGTTCCCTCATTTTGTGAGGACTTCTCCATCTGGCTTGGACTTCTCAAACCTGAATGAGATGTATTTGATGAGTTGAAATTGAAGACCCTTAAGGAGCTATGGGGTGTGAGTGATGACTTTTCTTTGTCTGAACCACAGGGCGGGTCATCCCCCTTCCTGGGCTGTACCACTGAAGACTGAGACACAGAACTGTTCTGAGAAGTGCTAAAAGATGTTGTCATGGTATTGACTGATGTCACAGAAGGAGAAAAGATTTTGTCTTGTGGTAGGGAAGACAGCATGCTTGAGAAAAGAGCACTTTTTTCCAGCCTCGACCTCTTAACTCCACTGACAGCGATGTCCCTGTTCTCTTTGTCATTGACATCTAGACTTGCCTGCGGCTCGCTTTTCCCATTTGTGTTAGTGTGTAAGGACTTGAAGAGGATACTCTGTTCGGTGGATGCACGTTTGGGTCTCAGTTTGGATTTGGGGTCAAGGTTCTGCATCAAGTGCAAAGCTGGTGACATTTCGGGCTGGCTTTCCTTTTTCTTTCCTAAACCAATGGTAAACACATTAGGATCAAACACCTTTTCCAAAGTGTCCTCATGAATAGGAGGCATAGCAAAGTGAGGGGCTGGAGAGTTTGGCATCCTGGCCTTCTTCTTCTTCTGGGGCACACACACCGCGCTGTCCATCTTTTTAATAATTTCAGTGAATTTTTCCATATCAGAAGAGGAATCAAAGACACTGTCATCACTACTAGCAGAAACATTCAAGAGGCTGGTAGGGGTATTGTGGCCATTCACATTTTGATCTGACCTTTGAGGGGTTTCTGAATGACTTGTGTTGCTGGGAGGGTGGACTGGGCTGAACTCAGCTGACAGGGGTGTACCAGAGCTCTGACTTTGAGCCTTCTCAGATTCTGGCTGCAGGCTGTGTGGGCGAGACTGTGCCCCATGCTCCTCCCTGCAGCACATGTGCTCTGGTGACGTGCTCTTATTGTCCAGTACTTCCTCTTGCTGAGGAGCAGAATTTGCAACAGAAACCACTTCAAGTTCATTTTTGTGACAACTCGGCAACTGCACTTCTCTAACTTCAGAGCTTTCTGAGATGACTTGTGAGCTCACGTCCTGAGTGTTCCCCACAGGAAGCACAAAGGACCTGACCTGTACAAGGACTTTGGATGGACACTCGTTGCCCACGGTTTCTGGGCTGTGCTCTGGGGGTAGAGGAGGGTTGGGGTCTCCTCCTCCAAGTCTGGACAGGGGCATTTTCTCACTGTGATGAGACACAGGTGAAGTGCATCCATTGTGGTTTTCTGACACTTCTAGATCAGGGCATGCAAAATCGCTTATGGGAACTTGAACACAGCCGTCTTGGAGGGTATTCCCAGCACTGGATGCAGGAGGTGGGAGAGAAAGCTCCCTAGATGACTCAGATGGGGGCTGTGAGTCAGAAAACGCATTCTGTGGTTTTGGAGGAGACTCTCTGGCATTCAGAATGGCAGGGACATCCTGTGCTGCACCACTCATGTTTTCAACTACAGGCCTTTTGCTGTCAAAAGCCTCTGAGCTGTCCTCTCCTAAGAGCTTAGGGTCCTCGACAGGACCCAGAGCAGTAGGATCTGGCTGTGAAGTACAGGCAGCATCGACTTGTACATTTGCTTTATCACCTTGGCAAGGCTGAGGACAGAGGGACCGACCCTCAGTGGGCTCTCCTGTGTCTCCTCTGGCTGCTGGGGGAATCTCTTCATCAGGGACAGGGACAACACCTTTGGCTTCTGGAGACGGTTCCTTGGCCATCAAACCATTCTGTTGGTTGGTTGGCACTGATTTTTTTTCAGGTTGCTCCATTTCTTTGGCTTTTTTGGCTAAATTCAGCTTTGCCCTCCCAACAAATGTCTTATTAGAGGGAGGAATGTTCCTTGTGCTACGGATGTCAGGGTGTCTTGGGCTGCTGTTTGTCCTCTTGTTTTCAAATAAGGAGATTTTGTTGGCAGTGTTTCCCTTATGAACTGGCTGGCTAAATGGATTATGCTCATTTCCCAAACTGTCAGGATTCTTGGGGGTTTTCAGATTTAGTTCCACATGTTTGGGTTTGGCTGGTCTACAAAGAAAGAGCAGGAGAACAGTTAGCAGCCTAGTGTTTAAAAGTGAACATACTAACCAGTTTACTACAAAACCAGCAGAGTCAGAATCCTCCTGGTATAGTTTTGCATGAAACTTCTTAAACAATACTAGATACACTACTGAGTATTTTTAATGGATATTTTGCCTGCATATGACAGATGAGAAGATTATATTGCTAAGAAACTATTTAAAAATTTACCAAGTATTCACAATGCACAACACTAGAATGAGAAGACATTATGGGTCATGAAGAACTTTAGAACAAACTTAAGTATTTAATGTATTCCCCTACTTTAAGTATATAAATGAATTTCCCCAACATCAATTGTGTGTTTTTATTTAACGTAACTTTTTGTCCCCGTTCAGTTTTTTCAGACAGGGTTTTATGTAATGCAGGCTGAGCTCAAATTTACTGTGTACCTGAAGATGACCTTGAACTCCTGATCCTCCAGCCTTTACTTCCCAAGGGCTAGGAGTACAGGTATACACCACCACACCCAACTTTATCATAACTTTTAAAAAGCTATCTTAAAAGGATAGATTATAAAACATATTCATCAAAATCAAGATTTATGCAGAACTCTCTTAATCCCAGTAGAGGAAGCAGAGGCAGGCAGATTTATGTGAGTTCCAAGCAAGCCAGGGCTACATAATGCATAAGTAAATACATAAATAAACAAATAAAATAAAACATATTCATTTAGTATTACCTCTTGGGATATTTTGTCCTTGCCATTCGTCCCCCTTAAATGTTTTCTTAGCCAGCTGTGGTGGCACATGCCTTTAATTCTAGTACTTGGGAGGCAGAGGTAGGCAGATCTCTGTGAGATCCAGGCCAACCTGGTCTACATAGAAAGTTCTAGGCCAGGTGGGGCTACAGAGAGACCTTGTCTCAAAAATAAACAAAAAAGTTTTCTGATTGTATATTCACTATATGAAAAATATTTATGTATTATCTTTATCTTTGTGTGTGTACATGTTCATTTATGAACAGAGTCTCTTGTTCACCATTGCACACACTAGACTAGCTGGCCTGTGAGCTTCCAGGGATTCCAATGTCTCTGCCTCCCATCTCATCATAGAAGTGCTGGGATCACAGATGCTCACATCATGTCCATCTTTTGCATGCGTCCTGGGGATTCGAACTCAGGTCCTCAGGCTTGTCTAGCAAGGGCTATACCCACTGAGCCATCTCCCCAAGCCTGAAAACAACATTTTTTAAATCACTCATAAGCCTGTGGCTCAGAAGATATCCCTATTAGCATCTTGGTTCATTTCTAGGCTTTTCATATGCATAAATATTTTAATAGAATTAAAATTACTCTGTTCATAGGGCTTGGTATCTTGCCTTTTGTTAAGGAAAAAGTTACTTAATATAAATTTTTACATTACTAAAAACTTTTGCTTGAGAAGTTTTTAAAGTATCTACATAAAATTTTATCATATGGCGATGCCATAACTTATTTAACGACTATTAGGTTATTGGTTTTGTTACCACATCTTGGGCAAAGAGAGTCTCTCTGTTCCATTTCTTAGGCTTAATCACTTGCTATCGGAAATAATGCCTTTGAATGTACACAGTGTGTTCTTTCACAGGAACAAAATGTGTTCTGTTAGCATTTGCTGGCTCTGGTCCTGGCTCTCACACTAACATTGATGTGAATTTGGTCAACTTACGTTATCTCTCTGGCTTATTACCTTTCGTATTTGAAAAAAATCTACTTCTTCCCCCAAAACTTATGGCTAAGGGTATCCTTGAAGTCTCCTTGAAGGGTTACAATTAGGGATAACAGAATCTGCAGGGTGAGGGGACTGCCCATACATCCTTTTGGACAGAATCATTCCCAATTATCTGTTTTGTATATCATTTTTATATAAGCTTTCCTAGACTAGTTTGGAGGGGGGAGGGAGTGTCAATTTAGAGATAATAATGACCACTGATTGCCAAGTACTTGAGAAGTTCTTTAATTTGGTTTACCTAATGTACAACTTTGTAGGTTCTATTTTAAGATGAGGAAGTTGAGGTGTGGAGAAAGTAAATAACTCTGCTGAGGTCACATAGCTAGTGACAAGGCCATGATCTGAAGCAGGTGCTCTGGTTTCAGTGGCCACACTTCCACCTTACTATTTGGCTTTGCCACTCAGAGGACTAAAATGCTCTTCTTTGCTTCTTTCTGTCAGTTACTTGGAGGGAAGCGTGTTCAACTAGTTATCAGATCTTCAAGATGAGAAAATCCAACTTTAGATGCCACGTGACAATGCAAACACAAAGCTGGAGAAATGCAGGCATCCCAAGCCCTCTTGTCTACGCTGTACACTTCCCACCCCCAAGAATGTTGGGCCTGCTGAGACTCCAGAGGGACAGGCATTATGACTGTGGGAGATGCTGCGTCCTCCTGGGTGAAATGAGAAGCCTAGGCCATATACCACCAAATGCTCTCCAAGTGAGAATTTTCATTTTTTAATTTTTTTTTTTTTTGTCTTTTTGTCGTTTTGAGAAAGGGTCTCCCTGTAGCCCCAGCTGTGTAGACCAAGCCGGCCTCGAACTCACAAAGATCTGCCTGCCTCTGCTTCCCAAGCGCTGGGATTAAAGGCGTGGGCCACCACACCAAGCCTAGGCCATATACCACCAAATGCTCTCCAAGTGAGAATTTTCATTTTTTAATTTTTTTTTTTTTTGTCTTTTTGTCGTTTTGAGAAAGGGTCTCCCTGTAGCCCCAGCTGTGTAGACCAAGCCGGCCTCGAACTCACAAAGATCTGCCTGCCTCTGCTTCCCAAGTGCTGGGATTAAAGGCGTGGGCCACCACACTCGGCCTCATTTCTTAAAATTTTATTTAAATACAAAGTCTGACATATACTCATAAATTTCCCTATTATTTCTACAGATACCTAGGCTTCCTTACTGTAGGCCTATATCTTAAGTTTAAAAGGGAAATGAAAGCTAGACTTGGTGGCACCTGCCTATAATCTGTAGGCAGGAGGATCAAGAGTTCAAGGTCCTCCTTGGCAACAGAGTGAGGAGTTGGAGGCCAGCTAGGGCTAAAAGTAATGAGCTAGGGCTAAATGAGACCCTGTCTCAAAAAAACAAAAGCAAAAGATTAAATTCTAAGTCAGTGAGATGGGAAGAAATGTAGAGTTTGCAAAATGCTTCATTAATTAATAAGCAGTGGTGATGTATCAGGGAATATTTTTTTTTATTCTGACCAATCAGCTCAAAGCACAGTACTCAAGTCGAACATCAAAGTGTATCTTCCTCTGTAAAAGGAAAACACTACAGGTGAGCTGACAGCTCCCTGCAGGATAGGAAACACATCTGCACATTAAAGATTCACACCAAGATCAAAATGCCTTTAACAACCAAACTTTCTGTGCTATTAAGTTCTGCTACCAAGAGTCACTGCAATTAACCTAGTTCAGACTGATTAAAAGGAAGGTTCCTATAATTCATGTTGTAATGCTTTCATTACAATGTGAGAGAGAGTCTAAAACACCAAAGTTACACTATAAAAGGAAAAGTCTTCCTATTTTAAACATACTCATAAGAATTTCAACATTTGGCATTCAGCAGAGAGCTTGAAGAAATAATTTTTCTAACAGGATAAAGACACATGTAGTTTATCATCATTATTTTTTCAGATGAAATAGTTTTTCTAATTCTTCGAACTTTAAAAGAAAATATCTCAAATGTAAGCCGGGGTAATGGCTCACATCTGTAATCTTAGCATTTGGGAGAGTAAAGCAGGAGGATAGCCTCAAATTAGAGATCAGCCTGGACTACACAGTGAGACTTTGTCTTAAAACTGTGAGTTCCAGGTCAGCCTGATCTACACAGGGAGTTCCCAGCCAATGGCCAGGCAGGGCTACATAGTGGGACCCAATGTAAAAAACAAAAAAAAAGAAAAGAAAAGAAAAATAAAATCCAGCCATCAAAAGAATTAAAGGGTCTAAAAGCCTTATCAGTCAAACAAATGTGTCAAAAGATTAGATAAAATTAATGACTCTCCGAAAATTAGATAAAATGGGTGATAAAATTTTAGACAGAAAATGATCAGAAAAAAAGACATCTGGCTCAGTTGGCAGGAAGCAGCACACAAAGAAGAGTTCCATTGTAAGATCCCTGGCTGCTGTTTGTTTACTCTATTCCTTAACTGTAGCATTTCTGGTTTTTCCACTACCTTCTTCTGACCAGACAAGTGGAGCATCGTTTAGTACTTAGCAGGCTTTAGCTTCACAGTCATACTGGTCTTCTACAAATAATGAGCATCATCACTGGGCTTATTTCCCTGACGCTACCGTTACAGAATAAATAGCTGTGTCAAAGGTCTCCAGGCTGCCAGCTGGTGAGGTAGTTGAGTTATTCATTAAGCACATTTTCTTCCTTTTTTCCAATTAATCCTGTTCCAAAGCTTCTCTAAGAAATCAAAAAACCATTCAGTCCAAAACGATGTAGTGCACACGGCCAGCCTTTTAAATGAGTGAAGGTAGGAAAACGGGAGTACTTAATTCTTTTCACCTGCACTGAGGGGTGGGGAGCCAGGGCTTTCACCTTTCTAGAGCTCCTGCTTTGTTTACTCTATACAAAGTACAGTCATGATCAAGATCCTCCAAAAAATCATCGGTGACTTCTTCCTCTGAACTTCCCTACCCCTTCCAATGGCAAAGTCCACTTGGCCATTTTTGTTTGATTTGTGTGCTCCTTATGTGCCTGAGGGGCCATAACCGTTTCAAGTGCAATAGCCTGACTCATAAAAGTTGGCCATCTCCCCCTAAAGTTTGCAGAACAAAGGGTATTCAATAAATATTTCCAAGATTGTTAAAATTTAATAGGATGCTGTTACAGTCTGTTGTTTTGTGTCCTTTCACTCAGCAAAAGAATTTCAATAAGAACTGTCGTGACTTCAATAACCGGGTTCAGACCAGAAACAAAAATATGAGCAGGCTCCTGAACATTACAGAAGAATAGGAGACTCACTCTACCTTATTTTAGGACGAGGCACAAACTCCCTAAACAGTTCTGAGAAAGCTCTTAAAGTCTCCCACGTCAAAGCTACTGGGTCACACTCAAAATACTGTAGTCTCCCTCTGAGTTTTTTAAACACCTTACCCTGGAATAATACCCTGTACATTTGGGATAAAGAATATAATTAGCTTATGTCAAGCCATTAAGTCTTATCGCTACGTAAACACTAAGCCTCAAGCAATATCCTATTTTCACATTCAACTTAGATCTTATATTAAAGTAGGAATTAACTGAGGAGGCTGCCAAGTGTCATCTTTCTTAGCCTGAGTTCTGTGAACTGCTCCTTCTCTTTGAAGTTTTCAACCGCACAGGCGATTCTACAACTCTGAGGCTAATTCCGCAGCTACTTACAGGGTCACTTTGGTGGTCACGGTCGACCTGCCCACACCGAAATGGTTCCTGGGCTTCTGGCCCTCGGCCTCAGACGTAGCTGCCGACCTGCCCAGCTCTCTGCCTCGGCCTCCGTCGCCCCGGCCGTCCAGGTGGTGGGGCAGCGGGCCCCTCTTGTGCTCCGGCCTGATCTCGGGCAGCAGCGAGCTGCTCTTGACCGTGAGCTCCCGCGGGATGACCCGCCCGGTCTCCTCCCCGCCTTCCGCAGCGGCGCCCTTGGCTGCCGGGCCCGGGTCGGCGGCGGGCGCCTTCTTCGGGGGAGACTCCCTGGCGGGCGCCCGTGACCCGCTGCCGGGTGAGCTGGGCACCGCCTCCGGGACGCGGCTCCGGCCCTTCCTCTTGGTGGGGGACGAGGCCGGGGGCGGCTGCTTGCTCCGCTCCGGCTCCCCGCGCGGCTGCCCTTTGGGGCCGGGGCTGGGCTTGGAGTCCGGGCCGGCGGCGGAGGCAACGCCCCCGTCTGGAGCCGCGCTCGGGGATTTCACTTTCTTTTCCGCCGAGCCGTTCGCGGTGGCCGCGTTTGGCGCCACCTCGTCGTCGAACACCGCGTGGTCGGTCGCCGGGCTCTCGGGAGGCACCGCGTCGGCGCCGGGGGAGTCGGCGGATTTCTGCGACTTCCTCCGCCGGCCCGACCTGCGGCCGCCCGCCCTCCGCTCCATGTCGTCCGAATCGTCGCAGTCGTCTGTCCCCGGGGCCACCCCGACTGGCTGGCCCACCTGCGCCGCCTCAGTCTTACTCAAGTAGATGTCCAAAGTTAGCACTGTGGCAGGGTGGGCGCGATCGCCGTGCCGGGCTGCACCGCCGGCCGCTGCGCCCTGGGCAGGAGGGTCGCCTGGCCCGGCAGGCGCGTCCTCACCCGACCCCGGGGAGCCTCCGCCACCCACCACGGGGACTCCGTCGGGGGCCTCCGCTGGTTCTCCCGCGGGCCGCTCCTCCGTGGGCGACCCCGACACACCCCTCGCACCCCCGGCGGTCTCGGGTTGGCGGCCAGCGCCTGGCAAAGCGTCCTCCCCCGGACTGCGGGCGGGTGTCTCTGCGCTCCCCTGCCTGGAGCAGTTCCCCGGTGAGGAATGCAGCTGCTTGGCAGCGGTGGTGGCATCTGGGAAGGTCTCTCCCTCTGCCTGCAGAGGTGCTAATTGGGCTGAATCACTGCCCAGGCCCTGCTGCACAGCCCCGGAGTCGCTGCTGCAGCGAGGTGACAGCTCGGCGTCCCCGGGGGTTGCCTGGACACCGCTTTCCGCCGGCTCAGCCTCGGCCTCGCTCGCGTCGGTGGCCTTAGGTGGGCTGCCCTGAGCCTCGGGGAGTTTGGAAGAAGTGGCGTCTTTGGGAGAGACCGATTTGGTATTTGAGTGGGTGGGACTCTCTAAGCCATTCCTGGTGTTCCTTCTCCTTCCAGCAGTAAATAGGGTGCCAAGTTTCCCCAAGACTGGCTTCCTTCTGCTGTCTTCTGGTGGTTGTGCTCTGGACTGGAAAATAAAAGGAGATGGGGAGAGAAAACATGAAAATCCGTTTTTTCCCCCTTTAGTGGTATATTAGAGAACTGTTACAAACCAAAATAGCAGTTTGCAAGCAAGTAATTGAAAATGAAAAGGTAGAGCTAGGCGTAGGTACGCACGTCTGTAATGTGTTACCAGCTTTCCGACAAAATTATTTTTTTTCTTAAGCATGTTTTTGACGCTACATTAATAAGAATAGTATTTCATTATAAATTGATTTTTAATTCGAAAAGTTCAAATACCACATTACACAGTTAACAATTCCCTCTCTGGTGTCTGCTTTTTACCTCCTTCCTCAATAAAAATTTAACATCAAAACAACCAGGCGTGATTACAGGGTACAGTGCGGGAAGAATTTTTCCTGAAACACCGCTTTTTCTTTTATTGGGGGTGCGGAGGCCTAGGAAAAATGACTGGCGGCCTTCTGCAGAACGTGAGAAGACAGGCAGGGGAAAACCTTATGCCTAGGTGCAGGAATCCAGCACCTGGCTCCGCCCGGCATCGGGCGGGACGCGCTCGGCCAATGGGGCAGGCGCGCTGCTTTCAAACCCCGCAGCCTCCGTGCAGCCGTCCCGCCTCTTCGGGGCTCAGCCGGAGCTTCTGGGGGGCGGGTGTCAACGCCCGCGAGGCCGAGGGGGGAAGGGGACTGGCGGCCAGTCCCCTGCTCCAGCACTCGAGAGCGTCTAGGGACCCGCCCTGGCTGGGAGGGAGGGAGAATGTACGCCCAGCGGACACCGGACACCGCCGGCTTGGAAACGTCCGCTCCAGGTGCTGGAAGCCCAGAGCCTCCCGTGGGCTAATCCAAGGAAGCGGGACAGCCAAAGGGGGGCGCCCAGAGGGGTGGGTGATGGGCCGGCCAGTGGGAACAGGGAGGGAGCCAACAGCTTCTCTTTTCTCCAGGGCCACTCGTGCTGAGTAAGTGATTGGGTTGAACTCACGACCCTTCTAGAGGATAGCTCTTAAGTTACCTCGTGAATTCGAAGCCTATTAGGGGCTAGCACAAGGGCTAGCCTCTGTGAGGCAGAAAAGAACCCCACCTTTCGAGGAAGACGAGCATTCGGGACTACTTTGACTTTACTGGGGTATAACAGATCCTCTTCATTTGAATTACAGTACAGTTCGTAGATTGTGGTAATTTTTTTCTTAAAGCTTGAGTACGATGTGCATGCGAACCAACACGCATCTGTTGGGACATTCCTGGCCTTTGTAATACTGTGTAACCCTGCTGTAGTCTGGTGAGGTAATGCTGTTACCCTACTGTACAGGAAGAAAGGACATTCCAAAGACTGAGACCTAAACAAAGTGTGCTGGGGGCTGGGACGATAAAGTCAGAACTCAAACCCAAATCCTCCAATTCCAACACCTGATCCTGCCTCCATCACCCAGGTGCAAAGGGTACCCAGTAACCTGAGGGGGCCCAGAGAAACAGACCCCAGGCTACAGACCCCCAGAGTCAAGTTTCCAGGAAACGCCTGGGGAAATCCCATAGGCTCACAAACTCCCAAGGTGCTGCTTCCGGCAGTAGCACATGGTGTGGTCAGAGCTTTGGAACTACAGAGCTGGAACAAAGGAGCTGGGCAATCCATACAGCAACCAACCAGAGCTCCTGTGACTGAGGCCGTTTGCTTCTAAGATCTAGTCAGATTTTGCTTCATCCACTTCTTCAGTGCTTAGGAAGTCTGAAGGAAGAACTGGATGTAGCTTAAGAAAAATTACATTAAAATTATCTGACTTCCTAAATCAAAGGTAGTATTACTACATGATTTTTAATCATAATACCGGCTTCCTGGGCCCTCCTTATGTACCAGACACTTGCTAAGTGATTTGTGTAGATTGTCATTTTATCCTTCCAACAGCCCTTTAAAGTAGTAGTCTTTTTATGCCTATATGCCAAAGTACCCCTGTCCAAAGCTCCATAGCTAGGAAAGTCTTTCTGACTCTGAATATAGAGCTCTTTGTGTCAGGCCATCAAACATAACCTGAAGAGGTAGGAAAATAAGCTTGAGTCTTGGTTCAATTCCAGTCCTTATCAAAATAAAATAAAACTGCAGTGTGTATTATTCTGTCCTGCCAGGGATGTTGCAATCTGCTTTCCCATGCTGTAAAGATGTCTGGTCAGCAGTCCTCTTTGCTCAGTGAAGATACCCCCACTCCAACCCTCAAATTTAGTTATAGATGCTTTACATTTTTTTTTTAATTTTCACTTTACGGGTATGAGTATATTGTCTACATGTATGTAAGTGCACCTGTGTCGTGCAGTGCCCACGGAAGTCAGAAGAGGGCTTTGGATTCCCCTGGAACTGCAGTTACAGACGGCTGTTAGCCACTATGTAGGTGCTGGGAATCGAACCCAGGTCCTCTGCAAAGAGCAGCCAGTGCACTTAACCACTGAGCTATCTGTCCAGCCCCACAGCTGCTTGCTCTTCAACTTGACTATTAACTAGTTACCTCCTCCTGCATCACAGAGGGGCAGCTTATTTATCACTCGTTGGACTGTTCTGTTGATTTCCTAGAATTTCAGAATTTAGTTTGCTTAATCAAGCCTTTTTATAGCAACTTCAGTCAAACAAGTCAAATGCCTATGAACGTGAATAGATAAAAAATTGTGGTACATCCATGCAACACAATACTACTCAGCAATAAAAAGAACCAAACTTTTGAAACATGAAGTGACAGGAATAATTCGCAAAAGCATTAAGCTAAGTGAAGTCAGGGGTATAGCCCAGTGGTAAGAGTGTTTGCCCAGCATGTGTGAGGAGGATGATTTCTTGATCTCAGGAATTCATGGCCAGGCTGGGCAATATAGCAAGCTTTGTAAAATGAAAACAGGCCTGGTGTGATGGAGCACACCTGTAATCCCAGTACTCAGGAGGCACAGGCAAGAGAATTCTCAGAAATTCTAGGCCAGCCTAGTCTATACAATGAGTTCTAGGGATAGCCAGGGCTACAAAGAGAGACCCTGTTTCAACAAACAAACAAAACAGACAGACAAAAATGCCAGGTGTGATAGTGCAGGCCTGTAATCCCAGCATTTGAGAGGCAGAGGCAGGCAGATCTCTGTGACTTCCAGGACAGCTGGGGCTACAAGGAGACCCTGTATCAAAAAGACAATAAAAATAGAAGATAGATGATAGATAGATAGATAGATAGATAGATAGATAGATAGATAGATAGATAGATAGATAGATAGATAATATAAAGAAATCTGTGTGGCACAGTCTATATGGCTCTGATCATTTCATAGCTCTTCAAGGGAGGGACAGGAATGTGGCAACCATCAAGTCATTTCAGAGGCTCCTCTCTTATCTCTAGGCAATGGAGACTTCCCCAGGGGGCTAGTTCCTGAGGAACCCCAGGACATCATCTCTGAGCAGGATCATCTGAGCAGGGTTTATAAAACCCCATTCCTCTGCCAGAAGTCTCAGTCACATCTTTGAGGCATACCTTCCCTTTTTCAAAAGGCTACACAGTTATTTTCAGCCACAGAGTGTTTATTTCCAGTGTTCATAGGGAAAGCCTGGCAGATGGAGAACCAAAAAAAAAAATGGACTGAGAGTGATCAGAGAGTAAGCTTTGGGGTTTACAGCCTTAAATCTAGGGTAGGAAGTCACAGACCCAGCACCTTCTTCCCTCAACCTCCTTAGGAAAGGGAATATGTTCAAATCAGGCTGCCAAAGTGCCCCAACTCCAACTTTCCTCTCTTCTGGTCCTAGAAAGGGTTCTGGGGGTCCTGGGGTATGTTGTTCTCAGGCTCAATGTTCTGAGAGTCAGTGTAACCCCAGGACCTGTTTTCTATAGTATACCTTGTACACTTTACTTAAGGCAGCCTGTACCCCTCACTGTGTAGAGTCTGCACTTGGCACCCTTCCATCTGTGCCCCACTGCCATGGGAGCAGTCCACAATAGACAGTTTCAGAGACGGTCTCTGAATTGTGTGTCAGGATCTGTTTTAGAGTGCTATTGTTGGTTAAGATTCAGTATAGCTCATGAGGGGACATTCAGGACATTCATGACAAGGTCACACTCCAGCCATGTGTAGGGGCCCAGGTAGTGGAAGCTAAAATACTGTTCTGTGAAGCTCAGTCTTTTTGGTGTGGTAGAACCTGCTGTCAGCAAGAGCCACCTAGTAAATGATACCTTGTGCTTGTATAAACCTGTGTTGTGACCTCATTTTAGAAGACACTAAAGGCCAGAACATTCTGGATAAATTGTCAATATATCATATGTCAGTATGTCCGAAATGTCTAGTCATTCAGGCAAAATTATACTTTTATTTTGGTTTATTTATTTAATTTATTTTATTTAATTAATTAATTTATTTATTTATTTTTTGAGACAGGCTCTCCCTGTAGTCTCAGCTGATCTAGAACTGGTATGTAGACCAGGATGGCCTTGCTCTCACAGAGAACTGCCTGCCTCTACCTTTTTTGAGTGCTGAGATTAAAGGCCTGTGCCACCATGCCCAGCTTGTTTTATTTTTTAAGATTACTAATTAGTTTCGATTGGATATAATGGCTGCTCCTAGGGGTGGAACACACATCTGGTACTGTGGACCAGGCCAGCCCCCTGCGGCAGGGAAGAATATAGGCCCCAGTGGGAAGTCACTGCAATTGTTTTATTATATGGATGTGATGCACCTGCCCAACTACCATCCAAGCATTTGTGTTTACACCCGGAAGTTAAGTTATTACAGCAGCCACTGTTTAGATGTTCTTGCTTCTTGCTGTTTGTGTTTTTATAATAGATGGAATTTCACTGAAATGGGTCAACAGCCCATGGAAAACAGACAAGGCAGAAACCCCAAAAGATCGATGCCTTGCCACGACTGGAGGAAGATCATCCCATGCCTACCTCAGGGGCTCAGGAGCTTTTTTGGAAGAGGGTGGTGGAAAGAATGTAAGAGCCAGAGGAAGGAGTGGCGTGTTAACTGAAGTGTCCTCCGGCCACTATGCTGGCAAGCTATAGTAACA